CTGGAGAACGGCGCTAGAATCAGGTTAGTGGGGTGGGGAGGGAATGGGGATTTTACAGTATCTTTACCCTGGAGTGGGGTGGAAATGGAGATTTTACAGTATTCTTCCCCCAGGAATGGGGAGGGAATGGGGATTTTGCAGTATCCTGCCATGTCCAAGCCACGCCATGCCCACCAAGCTATGCCCACATAACTGGTCATAAAAGTTTTTGAATCCCACCACTGGAGAGCACTCTCAAATCAAAGTAGCAGCTTTGGTATCCCTGTATAGTATGTGCTACTCAGGGATGTCAAACTGGCGGCCCGCAGGCCAGATGCACCATCACCTCAGCACCATGAAGGGGAAAAAGGATGAGAAAAGGCAATTTGTTGGCAACATGCCATAAGTTTGACACCCATGTGCTAGATTGTGGGGTCTTTATTGCTCTCTGCAGATATTTCATTACTTAAAATTGATTACATCATCAGTGCAGTTGGTACATGCTACATTTCCACACTGATCACAATTCCTTCTCTGTATGGTCTGGTTTGATTTCTGAGGTGGGATAGGTTGTTATGAATTCTCTTCAGGGAACAAACATTGCATGGATTTCCCCCATAGAGTGATGGAAGAGGGGGAAAACCCTGCTTCCTTATATGTAAAATACCAATAAGAAAAGGTAAGGGAGGACACCAAAGATGAACTTTGGGCCTAATTTGCATCACAACTTTTCCCCAACAATTCCAGGATGATGATATGTAAGGATAGGGAGTTCTGCGAGGTAGGAGCCATTGCTGCAAAGGCTTTGTCCCTATTTAACCTATTTTAAAATAGTTCAAAGTAATAAAGTCTCTGGCCTAGGAACCCCTATTCATAACTCCTCACTAGGTAAACCAAAACTAACCCTTTCAACTACCGTACACCTGGAAATGCAGTTGGCACCAAATTATTGTTGGATGTTCTTGCTGCCTAGAATGACAGGAGCCAAATTATTGCATATGGCACCAGTGGAATTCCAGATTTTCAAAGATTATTCTGCTCCAAAATCCTTATATTGATATACTAGGAATACAATGACATAGAATGGATAAGGAATATGACACTCAGATGATAGCTGCCCTGGCCTCCATATTTTTTTTAAAATGCCAAACCATCTGAAGATTTCAGTGACTTTATAAGATTGCAGAAAAAAAGCCAATGATCTTTCTTAAAATCTCATAAAAATGTTGTGATATGTGGGAGAATGCTTAAAGCCAGGAAGTGTATACTTGCATGCACGGGTATCATTAAATTTCATTATATGAAATGTGCTTTTCTACAAATAATCTCTTCCAAACATGATAATTTAATTTTTTTAAAGGATTCTCGTAATGCCAGTGAGCATATATATGTATAAAATGTCTGGGATATTACATATACACACACCTCAAATTTCCCTAGAGAGGACATGACCTTCATTGGAAGGCGGAATACTCCCTATTCATGGCAGAAATAATCTCTGGGAGGCTAATAAAAAACTATGCAAGCTGAAACAAAGAGCATGGCCCTTTATCACTAGTCTGTTCTTTTTTGCAAGCACAGCAAAACGAAGGAATTTCAGCAAAGAATCTGGGTATGAAGCATACTTACCCATTTACTTCCACATTGTACAATTCCTTTTCAGGGTAAGAAGCATTCTACCCCAACAGGGACAAAATACCGTGTTTCCCTAAAAATACGATCTATCCCAAAAATAAGCCCTAGTTAAGATCCTGCCCATTCTGTCTCACCCTCTGGTTCGGAGATGGTATTCTGCCAGTTCACACCAGTTTGGGCAATCTGGTAGTGGTGGTGGTGCGAGGCTCCATCCACCCACCCAGATGTCATGCGCAGAAGGTTCTGCACATGCCCAGACGGGCATGTGGGTGCACACTTCCACTATCGAACCGGTAGTGAAGAAAGTAGGATACAATTACTGCTCTGGTTGTACGAGGTGGGGTGA